GGCTACAGCAGGTGGTGGGAGAGTTCCAGAGCTGACAGAAAGGGGCTCACATCCGGCAGGAAGGGACCTGGGGTTCAGGCCTACTCCACTGGGGGTCACAGTGGGTGGCAGCAGCAGGAGGGGTCTGGAGCTTGTGGGAAGAGGCCAGGGCTCCTGGCCGGGTTCCCTGGGTGCCGGGGCAGGCAGTGGGAGGGGTCTGGAGGTGGTAGGAAGAGGCCTGCCTGTGCCCGGGCTGGGTCCCCTGAGTGTCACAGCAGGTGGCAGGAAGGGTCTGGAGCCAGCAGGAAAGGTCCTGGGGTCAGGGCTGGGTCCCCTCAGGGCTTTGGGCAGCAGGTAGAGGGGTCCAGAGCTGGTGGGAAGGTGTGAAAGCAGGGTCAGAGGGGGCTAGATGGAGGAGGGCAGTAGGGTGGGTTGGTACTCTGGTTCCTGGCAGTTGGGATTGTTTCAATGGGGCAGTTATAGCTGCCATTCACCAGAAGGTTGGGGGTTGTAAGACAGTGCTCCTGTAGTTACCAGGTGAAACAGTCTAGGCTTCTCCTTGAGCTGCAGCCAGCAAACGTGGTCTTAGTCCTGGGTGTGTCTGCGCCGTACCTCTATCTCCTATTGGGAATTCTGTGGAGGTGCCTTTCTTCATGTGGGGCTGCTGGCTTTATTCCAAGATGGCAATGCTGAGTCATGCCATTTGATCACAGCCTCCCTCTGTATCTCTATTCCTTCCCCGTTTTCTATCAGTTTCTTCTATTCAGTAACTTGCAACCTAATACTTCACCCTTTCATTTAACGTTCAGGGTTCTACGACTGACATCTGTATCTGTTTTACTTGGTTTCTCAGGTCTCTGATGCAGCAGGATAGCTTAGTGAATCTGACTAGTCTGTCACCTTAGCTCTGCCCTCCAGTTGTACCAATTTTAAGCAGGAGTTCCTATTACTCTACATCTTTGCCAGCTTTGTATTTTCAGACCTTTTGTGACTAGGTACTTTTTAAAGTATATCGTAGAGGACACCTTTGGATTTTCTTTTCAGTACCTTATTTCTGGGAATTATGTTCCCTAGCCTCCCAAATCACTAGCTGCTATGTTCAGGAAGTATGCTCCTCCACTTCCTCACTTGATGGACTCATACAGGCCCTTGGTCCAAGCTAGGTCAATCAAATCCCTTTCTTGGAATTTTGCATTGGGACCAAGAATTCAGCCTGGCTAGTTGTGCTCCTGAATGAAAGATAAACAAGCTCTGAGAACTACCAGAACAGTAATGAATCTGAACAAGATGAAAAAACTGTGTTAAAATTCTGTCTAGAACTTTTTTCTCCACTGGACACCTCACTTCCTTCCTTTTTTGTTCCTTACTGAAAATGTCTTTTGTTGGTCTTTCTCCACACTTGCTTCTACAGCATAATGCTTAATTGTTAAATGAGGCATCAGCCTCTTCACTTTCAAATTTTGATTCCTGGTTTTAAGTGTTCATATTCACTGAGTGAACTTTGACACAAAATGTTACACAAACTATACCATTTCCCTAAAAAATACGTGAAGTAGTCACAACAAAGGTGACTTGAAGATCATAAAACAAAGAATCTACAAAAAATGTAGGCAAGAAAGTAATCACAAGAATCCCAGAATGTTTTGATTCTAAAAAGAGGCAACCTCCTTCCCAGGGTGCCTGTCAGGATGCTGGCTGTAAAATGTTGCTTCAAGCAACTGAACACATTAACTTCTTATATTTACCAATATTTCTCAAATAAAAATCATAACTTTGACATGAAACTATTTACTCTGATAGTACAGACCCAGACCAATTTTCTCCTGAGGCTACTCGATCATTCTTCTTAAGAGACAAAAGCAGTCGGATGAGAATAAACAAAAATCAGAGTATTTTTGGCAAATTTCTCCAAAAGGTCAAGGTGTCAAAGTAGTAATGTAAGTAGACAGTTCTGAAGCTCATTTGCCACTGAATATTTGCATGCCCACTATGTACCAGGTACTTCAGGAGCTGGAGATAAATACATCAGTGAACAAGAGACAAAAAAAAATCTCTGCCCATATAAGCTTAAGTTCTGTTCACATACAATTAAATTCATCTAGGTTTAAAGGCTTTTAGAACCAAATGTAACAAAGTTTTAAATTAGCATACTAATGGGTCTAAGGAATAACTGATGCTCCTTTAAAAATGGCACAGATCAGGGTTGCGTTATATTGAAAGTGACCATATGCAAAGAGTTTAGGGAACTCACTTGATAAAAGATTAGGGTCTCTGACTCAGGCATTACAGTATAATAAAAGAAAGATTTAACCTAGGTCTTTGGTATGATTGATCAATTAATTTCAGTGGAGTTACCATGCCCCAGCTAGAGATGGGCTACAATCCCTAAGGTTCCCATTTAACAATTTCTACACAAATTATTCAGTGACTTTGGTTACATTTTTCACAGTGTGTCAATGTTCTCATTAACTCTTTTCTGGTTGTTCGGTTTGCAGTAATCTATTTTCCCTGCCCCTGTACCTTCTCATCTTTGCCTTAAGGGTAATTGTTGATCATTTGGTCTCATACAGATGTTTTTTTAAAGCAGTACAGTCAGGGGCGGATTACCCAATAAACGGGTAAAAGTACGCATGGGCTTACTTACTAATCCATAGTGCACAATTTCAACTGTTTTTCACCACAAACCCTTGCGAAATTGTTCACTAAAGATTATTAAGTAAACAATTAAACCCATGTGTACTGCTTGCTTACTGTAACCCGGTGCACACTTTGCTTACTGAGCAAAGTACTCACGGTTTATATCCTTTATTTTATGTGCCACTGTTACTTAGCTACAAGTTAGTGTCTTTTAATAAACTGATGTAATAATCTGTGAGAGTTCTAAGTATTTAGTTGTGTATTACTTACTGATCTATTGAATTTTTCAGATTAGGCAGCTGCAAAAATCAGCACACATCTTACTTGGTGACCCCAGGTCAGGCTTGACTGAAAGCTTCCAGGCATAGATCCAAGGTTCCCACATTTTTGCATGCAATACTTGAAAGGAATGCTGAACCTATAAGCCTCCAGCAGTTTTGTGTTCTCTCTCTCTCATACACACAGACTCATTGTGATCTCCTACCCTATAGATATCCAAAACAATCTGAGTTACAAGTAAGATTTTATAACCACATTAACTGGCTAAGATCTCAAAGATCCTGAAAAGGAAAGAAGCAAAAGTTTACGGCCACTTCTGTAAAAATAAAAAAAAAACAAAAAGGATCCCTGGTGGAGTAGTGGTTAAAGAGCTTAGCTGCTAACCAAAAGGTTGGCAGTTTGAATCCACCAGCCACTCCTTGCAAACCCTCTGGGGCAATTCTATTCCCTCCCATAGGGTTGCTATGAGTCAGAGTTGACTGGATGGCAAGTGGATTTGATTTTTTTTTTTGTAAAAATAAGGTTTAATAAAACACTGGCAATCTGAATGAGAAAGAGAGTTACAAAGAGAAATTAAAGAAGATTATGGTATGTCAAGCAATGTAGGGGGTGATGGCCTAAGGAAACAAGCTTTCTTTTTTTAAATTAGGGGATTTGTTTAGAAATTCTGGCCCTCAAACATACAGGTAAAATTCTATTTTATCAGATTAAAAATGTTACACTATGTCTAAGTTTCCCTTTTACTGAAGAAACATTAGAAAGCAAATTAATGTAAATAAAACTCTAGGTATATACTTACATAGAACCACTTTATTTCCTGTTTAATTACTGTTCATTTTGCAAAGTATGCTGTCACTTAAAAATTCCCCTAATCACTTTTTAGCTGTTTTAAGAAATTATAAAACATGGAAATCTACTAAGACAAATGAACAACATATTTCTAAGCAGATGCCACTAGTATAGTCAGGCAATTAAGTGTCTCCTCAGGCACAGCTGCGATTCAGGCATGGACTCCCAAGGAAGCAGCAACAGGAGCAGCGCAGGGTAGCAACAGCAAAGTCAGCCTGATCAAAACTAACCACCTTGTGAGCTGTAAAATTCTTCTTAGTGGTACTTTTTATTTTTAAAAAATAACATCAGGAGTGTTCCGGTACTCTTTTCAATCAAGGGGCATCACAATGTGGATGCTAGGCAGTTGGAGAGGCTCAAGGTACCTGGTTACTCAACACTTTGCATAAACAGTGTTGCTGATCATGGGATTAAAATATGTCTCTGTGCAAAACTGAAACAATAAATTTTAAAGTTTCAAATGCAAAGAGCTGTCCATTTGAACCTTTCCATTCAAAAACAGAAATCTATAGTGCATGTGATCCATCACATTTCCACAGAAATCTAAGTGTGTTTAATAATAATTTTGAAATATCATGACATTTGGATTAAAGATAAATCTGTACACAGAAAACCATTAAAATGAAAACATTAGCAAGAGGAAGAAGAATATAAATTAGTGACATTGGAATCACAGGATATTGTTCTCCTAAGAAATGGAAGTTTTATTTATTTCAAATAGCAATGCTGTCAAGTAAATAATATTTGTAATAAACACTCTATTTGTGACTAGAAGCTGCTAAAATGGTTTTTAAGAATGCTTTGTTTTTAAGCATGATAAATGCCCACCTTTTAAATTTAGTGACCAATATTAATTTGCTTAAGTCATGACTATCTTTCATAAATACTCGGTCTTGACCTGGATGAATTATTACAAAAACTCAAGAGGATCTGAATTAATGAGGTATGATAATACTGAGATTAATAAAGGCTGCCCAAGGGCTTGTTTTCTGGACCCACTTCAATATGACTACCAAGAGTACCACACGTAAAATTTGATTAGAAATTGCTCAACTTACATTCCAATTAGGAAGATATTTGATCACAATAAAGGCCTGTGTGACTTAAACCTAATTCATTATGGCATTCATGAGCACTTTTAGAAAAGAATCAATTCAATGTACTTTAGGGACATAATATCTATTTGAATAAAATGTGTTTTGCAAATTGTTTCATTGTAATAAAGAAAAAGATAAAATAACCAGTCAGGCTTCATATCAATTAGACAACTTTTACTAAATGAGAAAACTACATTTAAAATGTGCTTTAAAACAAAATGGAATTAGAAAAAAAGATGTACTCATTTTAAAGAACTTTGCACTGTGCTGAAAATCAAATATTTCTTGCAGTAAATACAATGCGCCAATTCATAAAATGTAAATTAACAGAATTCACAATTTAACATTTTCAAAGACAATATTAAGGTCAAGAATTTCACATCTATGGCAGCACATATAGAAGGGCATTATAAATCTGAAGTCCATCCCTTTGACACAAATTTGACGGCGCTCAATAAAAGCTTACAGAATCACATCCAAAGAATCACAAATCTGTGTCCTGTAAGTTCTTGTTCTATTATAGACTATCTTTATGTTGACTTTTCTACTTGCCATTTGTTAATATTAACCCTTTAAAAAAAAACAGAGAACAGGAAAAGAAATGCTGCAATAAAGTCTTGATCATGTACAGAAATTATTGCTACCATACTTCACTACAAAGCATGTCTATACAACATTATATGAACTTTGATCATGAAAAATCAGAATAATAAAAATCTTTAGTGACAAAAGCCTTACAATCGTATACAACATTCAAGTGGCAATATTAGACAGTTAAGCACCCAATAACCAAAGTTGACAAAATGTCCCACTGACCAGCATTCACTTAAATATTAACATCCTTCTTATAGAAGGGGGGAAGAAAGAGATAGTGTCAGCTTCCCAAGGCTTGTCAAGAAAGGATTCTCATGTTCTGTGGATCTAAAAACAACAACAACAAAAACCCAAAAAATAAAAACAACGCAGGTGAGGGTGTTGCCAGAAAGCGAAGCATGCCAAAAGGTGTTTCGTGCGAATTGAAACCTAAAGCCAAGGTACCACATAATCACATTTCCAACTAGCTGGGCAATGCTACATGAGCCTTATCTTCATGGTAAATGAAACGCTACTGCACAATAGAGCATCAATAAGTTAAAAATTAGAGTGCACAAATCCAAATCAGTGGCAATTTCTGTATAAAGCAAAGCATTCACTATCAGCTACAAAGTTCGCCCAGTCAAACTGATTAAATCACTGGATTGGACAGTTGGCGTATTTTTTAAACCATCAATCTCTAAAATTCATTTTTCTTGTATCGAGGCATAAATTTTCTTAAGAAGATCAAACAGGTACATAAGTAGATAAAAGCAAGGGGAAATAAGTCAGTGACCATCTTTAAAGCTCTTCCCACATTTCACTTTTAAAAATGTTTAAAGAAAGAAAATTAAAAATATTTGCCATTATTCTAGCAAAACAAACAAAACAAAACAAGCCCAAAATAATTAAACAACCAAGCAACACTAAAACCACATTACACAGATGGATCATCATGCTTTCATCTGGTTTAACTATCACATCTAGTTTAGCTGGGATGCTTTTCAACTTTAAAAACTGTGATACGAGACAATGTAATTTTAATGGATAATTCTGAATTTGGATTTAACTTTGCTGAATATTATAACAGAGTATACTTATTACAATACAGTGTAGCACATCTTTCTATTAGAAAAGAATTTAAGATCCTTTACCCGTCTCCTTAAGTTAAAGGTGTGACATCATAAAGGGTGTCAAATGGCTGGATGGTTTTACAGTGCACACTTATATATTATGAAGTATGTCCTTAACAAATCTGATGGTTTCTTTATAGAGTCCCTTTCTTCACCTTTTCTTCGGTGGATTAGCTGTTCGAGGTGGAGTGACAGGACGTCCAGAATTCAGTCCACCATACTGGTACTTGGCTTTCTTTTCAGATGGTTTCAATATCTTAAAGTAAATAATTTATTAACAGTGTTACTCTCTCCAGTGCAAATAAGTTACACAATTGGCCTTCAGAATCTTAAGAAAACAGTGTTACGACATGGGTTCTTCAATAAATGGCCCAAGTTGTAAAAGTACAATAAAAATGTAAGACAAACTGGCCAAGTTCCATAAATATTTCTCACATTACATGTCTGAATAATATTGGGTTATATACCATATTAAAGTCAAATGAAATGCTACTGCACAATATTATTCTACGTGTCATTCCATTCATACTTCAGTCACAAACCCTCCAGTACACCAACCCTATCAACTACCTAATTCATAAGGATCTAAATAAAATTTTTTTCAAATTAGTGTATCTCCACGGTGAGGGAGAGAACACTGGTTTAAGAATCAAAAGACGTTGGTTCGAATCATAATTCTGGCACTATTTAGCAAGGTAATCGTCAGCAAGTTACAAACTTCAGATTTTAAATTTTTTACATGTAAATAGGTCTTAAAAAAAAGTTTTATTAATATATAATTTACTTACCATAAAGTTCACTCATTTAAAGTGTACACATCACTGGTTTTCAGTGTGTTTACAGAGTTGTATAAGGGGCCCCGGTGGCACAATGCTTAAGCACTCAGCTGCTAACCAAAAGGTTGGTGGTTAGAACCCACCCAGTGGCTCTATGAGAAAAAGACCTGGCAATCTGCTTTCATAAAGATTACAGCCAAGAAAACACTATGGGGCAGTTCTTTCTACTGTCACATGGGGTCGCTATTAGTCAGAATCGACTTGATGGCACACAACGTAAGTCGTACGATGACTACAATAATCTAATCTTAGAATATTTCGTCACCCCAGAAAGAAACTCATACCCATTAGCAGTCACTCCTCATTCCTGCCCTTGGCCTCCCTGCAATCCCCAACCTTTTTTTTCCTACTGATTTGCCTAATCTACCCATTCATATAAACAGAACCACATATGGTCTTATAGTGAGTGATTGGTTTCTTTCATTTAGCATAATGTTTCTGAGGTTTATCAATGTTGTAGCATGTATCAGTATACTTCATTTGTTTATGTAATTACATAGATATGCCATATTTTGTTTAATCATTCATCAGTTTATGGACATTTAGGTTGTTTCCACTTTTTGGCTACGAAAAATAATGCTGCTAAGAATACTCGTATTTAAGTTTTTGTGTGGATGCAAAGTTTTCATTTCCCTTGGGTAGGTAACTAGGAGAATTGCTGGATCATATGGTAATTTTATACTTAACATTTCAGGAACTACCAAACTGTTTTCCAAAGTTGCTGCACTATTTTACATTCCTACCAGCAATGTACGAGGGTCTCAATCTCTTCTAATCCTCACTAACACTTGTTATTGTCTGAGTTTTTTTATTACAGTAATTCTGGTGCGTGTACAGAGCTTTAACCTACATTTTAGATAAAAATTTTTATGATTTTACAAGAAAAATGTGTCCCAAATACAAAAGATCTATGACATATTTATTAGAACTATTCAGAGTCATCACAGTGCCTCAGTGAAAAGAATATATTAATCCAGCTCCATTTGGCAACTGTCAAAGGATAAGGCCTGGTGACCATCCTTAAATTGGCAATGAGAAGTCAACCACTTACCATTCAATTGTACTAGTTGATGGAAATGGTATAACACAATAAAGTGAGAGAGGGATCACATAGCATCTTACTTTTAAAAACAGAAATACAGTTGTATGCCTGTCAAGGACATAAAATAACCTTCGTAAAAACAAAGTATTTAAGTTTTTTTGGTCAGTAAATAAAACTGATTTGTAAGCAGCACACTAAAGCTAGAGCTGGCCTCTTTTGAAAATGTAATTTTTTCTATGTTTATAAATTGGTACTTTAAGATTATATGGAAAGTTTTTTCTTATTCTACTTTTTTTATTTTCATCTGAGTTTGTTATTCTCCCTCTCCAATGTCTTTCCCACCCATTCACCCTGCAAACAAAAACAAAATACTAAGTTGTTGATTGTATTCACATTTTTAACATGTAAGCCACTATCCAACAGGTCATACCGGAATTTAACAATTTAAAACATCTGAATCAAAGATGAACTGATAATACTTAGATTTCCTAAAACTCTCATATTTGATATATTTCATAAAGGATGGAACTTCTGTGACTGAAAACAGAAATCTCTAATGCATCTGTAAGTGAGAATCACTTCTGAATAAAATCTATTTTCTATCCTCATTCAAAGAAACATCATAAATCTAAAAGAAAAATTCTTCTGACAGTAGTTTTAATCAGACTGACAGTCGTTATAAATGTATATTTATATCATACCTGAAATGAACACATCAAAGTTTCATCCACACTCATCATTCCACCGGCATTATCAAACTCGCCACAGTAATTTGGGGCAGAAAACAGGGTTACCAATTGTCGTTTAGCAAAAAACTCATATCCATCTTCAACCACCTGTCACAAGAAATGTCAAAAGAAAAACACACTGAAACTTATTTATGGTAATTCTCAACCATCCGTATTAATGGAGATTAATGTGGCAAAGATCTTAAAAAAAAAAAAAAAAATGTTTTGGCAATTTTTTTTTTTAAACTTTGCTTAGAATATTAAAATTGGTGTTACCTTTTCTATAACTTTCTTTTCTATTTATTTCTATAAATTCAAGGAATTTAGCTTAAATGAAATAATAATAAACTCATTATTACTGAAAGGTTTAGAAATTATACCACTTTCAAGGCTCCCCGTGAAACAAAAACAAATATGCTAACAGGCGTAGTGTCTGCAAGGAGCTAGGACACAATGTACTTCTTTACGATGCATCAATACTTCAGTCAATGCACAGTAACCAGACAATGAAAAACAAGACTTTTCCCAAAAGCTTTTTTCTTGTTCCATCTTCTAATTTTCTATATTAATAGTTAACGCACTGAAAACATTACTAAATTTAGCTTAATTTACAGATGTTGCTCCTTAAAATTAGCTAATGATAGATTAAAGTTTTATATGTATAATTATTTTCCTTAATTACTTAATGTAATTTGTAGATTAGTTTTTGAAGTCTATTTTAGGTATCCTTTATAAGCAAAGAGTTCCTGGGTGGTGAAAACAGTTAAAACATTTGACTACTAACCGAAAGGCTGGAGGTTCAAGTCCACCCATAGGCACCTCGGAAGAATGGCCTGGCGATCTACTTCACAAAAATCAGTCATCAAAACTCCTATGGAGCACAGTTCTACTCTGACACACATGGAGTCACCATGAGTCGGAATAAACTCCACAAGTGGTTCTGGTTGATAAGCAAAATTATCCTATGATACTTGTTAACACAAGAAAGCACCTCCAAAATAATTTACATTGTCGTATAACGTCCATCCTCAGTAGCAGATATATGCTTCTGTTACAATTAAACACATGGTACAATTTAGATATTAACCTCTTCTGTTAGACTATGACCTCTCTCTCCCCAGGCTCAGCACAGTGTGTGGCACCTGGTACATGTTTCTTAGTTTGTTCATTCTTTCACACATTTATTATATGAACTTTTTTTTAAATGGAAGTATTCATAGTTTGCGTTGTTTCCCACTACAAGCCTCTCAATGTTAGAGATCACGTTTTGAAAATAAGCAGAATAGATTTTGGAGGTTTCTGGAAAAAAATTGCGCATGCTAATTTTTTTTTTTTTAATTTTTATTAGCCTCAACTTTTGAAAAGTCAAGTGAATAGAGATCTGTAGTTAAAAAACCCAACATCGGTGGGTATTTTAGCTAGGAAATTTAGCAACCCTGAGCTGTTATGTAATAACAGGCTTATTTTAATTATTGAAGTCATAAAAACAAAGATTTACTGATTAAAAGGTCAAAGCAAAGGATCTGGAGACATGACTTCATTTCAACTAAATAACGAGGAAATTCTGCTAGGGAAGAGACATGTGATATGCAGCCTGTGCAGATAATGAGTCATTTTTATTACACAGGATCAGACAAACAGGTAGAAGTAGTCAAGTGTCACGGGTAGTAAAGTCTCAGAGTAAAGGGAAATATTATGTTACAGCATATACTTAATGAATTTTGCTTTAACAGACAAATAACAAGGAATCTTAAAAAGTATTATAATTACAAATTTCAAATATTTTTAGTAGTCTCAAATTAAGTTACATGTCCAAAAAAGATTTTAAAGAATGCCTTTCATTCAATGCATCTCATAAAAGTATGTTACTGCAAGCATGAGGACTTGATATATTGAAGACATTGAAGAACTGTTAAAATAAATTTTGGTTTATCCATTCATTTATTCAACAGTGAGTGAGTGCATGCTGTAATACGTCAGTAACTGTCACTGGGTATTCAAATCAACATCAATCCTCTCCTTAAAGACCACACAACCTGCTGGTGGAGGACATTTAAATAACTACCTAAACTGTACATATATGTTTTTATAAAAAAAATTTCAACTATCCACAAAAGTTAAAGAGTTCAAAAAACTACCATTTACTCACCACCGATTCAGTAACTACCAGGATTTTGCTATATTTGTTTCATTTATCCTTCCAACCCCCCTCCCCCTTTTTTTACTTTGCTGACATATTTTAAAGCAAATTCCAAACATACTATTTTACCTCTACATACTTGAGTATGTATTTCTGAAAAAAATGTAGATATTCTTCTCACAAAACAATAATGCTATTATCACGGCTAGAACAATGATTCCTTGATATCTAATCCCCAGTTATAATCAAATTTCCTCAACTGTTGTAAAAATGTCTTTTTCGTTTTCATTAAAATCTAAACAAAGTCCACAAAATTTTGTTATCTACACTATATATTTAAAGATCATATCAAAACGGACCAAATATTGTCTAGAAAGTTTCAGGAATGCACTGAAAAAATTTGTTAGGATTACAATGTATTGCAAAAACATGTTCTTTTGATACAGTGTGAAAAAAGATGAACAAATCACTAGACTGTTAACTGTGAGATCTAGGTCCTGGCTCTGCCTTTCCTACTGCTTACCTTGTGAAAGTCATTTAACTTTCTTGGATCTGAGTTTCCTCAAAAATAAAATGAGAAGACTTGGTATGAAGAATTTAACAGATACTAAAATATCCAAGAGTTTTGTACTTCATACCTGATGAGCTCGACAAATCAAGTCCAAATCATGACGATTCAGAAATTTACTGACAACATCAGCTCCGAAAGTGAAGGAAACACCACGATCATTTTCTCCCCAGCCTTGCACGTCCTTATCTGGGTCAGACCACAGCAAATCACAGAGCAAACCTTCAAAGAATAAACATATAGCAATAAAAAACAAAACAAACCCAAATTTATAAAACAAAGTATATCTACATCACATTTCAATTATTTTCCTGCCCTCTTCCTCTTCCATTTATTTAACAACAACAATCACTTGCTCTCCAGTATCCCAAGCCTACTGAACTTCCCCACTCTTTGTTAAAGCAACCATACAAATGTAATTATGCCTGGCCTCTTAAGGAAGTACTTTCCATATATAGAAAATCTTTGTATGGCACAAGCTGAGCATAACAAGGCACATGAAAAAGGTTGGTCCTCGTGTGTGTATAGTTTCTCCATATGGGTAAACAACCCATCAAGCAGCATTTCCTGAACAGGCTATCCTTTCCCTATAGTGATAGATAGTGTTTCTGGGCTGTGTAATCCATTCCATTAGCCTATTTCATCTATCCCTGAGCCAATAACACAGTCTTCTACACTAGAATTTTTAAGTAAGTCTTTATATATGGCCGGGCTAGTATCACCACTTCATTTTTTTCCTGCAGGACTATCTTGGTTATTTTTGATCCTTTCCTTTTTCACATAAACTTCCAAATCAGCTTGTCTATTTCTGTGAAAAACCCAGTTGAGATTTCACTGGAATCTGATCTACAGATCAATCTGAGGACAAAAAACATTTTCTACTGAGACCTGGAGGATTTTAAAAAACCACGAGGAATGACAGAATCCAATGAGATACTTGGCTTTGGCAGTGCTTTGGGAAAATATTAAATCAAGGCTGAAAGTATTTATGAATTTCATCATACTAATTGCTATGGAAATTTTAGGAGGAACTTAGACCACCTTGGGAATATAAAGTGAGAAGACCAGTAAATGAACTCTGGGAAATCCAAACATTTAATGGGCAGGCAAGGGAGGAAGATGAACAAAAAATATTGAGAAGAAATGGTCAAAACAAAGGGAAGAAATAATAGAGGAGAAAGAATTTTCTAAAAGTAGGAAATTAATAGTTTCATGTGTTATAAACGAGTGGTGTAAGATGAGGACCAAAAATCTTCCGCTTATAATTAGATCATCAGCTTAATAAAAGCAGCTTCTTGATGACTGAGGGGAAGACAGTGGGTAAAAGTCAAATTGTAGTGGGATTAAGAGGGAGTGGAAGTTGAGATAGCAGTATTAAGTACTTTTCTAAGAACCATGGTGCCGAGGGAAGGAAGGACAGTAAAAAATCAGTACCATATATTCTTTATAGAATGACACAACTTTTAATATTTTTTTTGGTAACTAATAAACTTTATAATGTAGTTTAGCAGGAAAGGAGATCTTTGAGTCATAGTACAGCTTGTCTTTGTTTAAAACTCTGTAGAACTGGTGGCAAGATTAATTTCTATTATTGATATTTCTTAAAAACTTCTGCTGATTCTTTAAAACACACACACTATAATGCTCATACTTTGTTTCCAGATTCCAGTGACAGAAAGCCACTGTGTGAAGAATATATAATTTCAGTGTGAAATAAAACTGAGTACAAACAGAATGTAGTTGCTTTAGGAATTATCTGGGAAATATGACAGTCTAGAGGCATAGAAGGTCAAATACTGACAGCAACAACAATCTAGAATTCTTCAATCTTAACGCATTCAAGATACGAACCTCAGAGTAATTTTAATTCCTAATGAACAGCCATTCAAAAATTAAGTTTTTGAAATACAGACACCACCAAAGCTCAAAATAATCATTTTAGCATCTCAGTAACTTCTCATTAAAACATGCTAAAATGAGAATAAAGTATCACATATAAAACTGAAGATTTACATATAAACTATAAACCTTAAAGATGTAATGACTTGAAATATGTATTTATATTGTACCTTATCTAAAAAATAAAATTTTAATAAAATATTAAACAATTTCCATTAAGTTAAGTCAAATATATTCTATAATTACAATCAAAATCTGTGGTAAAACTGCATGTTTTTCCCTTTTATAATCAATACAATAAGTTGTATTATACAAGTTGTGAGATATGCAGCATTTGAGAAGGCTTACTGACATCAGAGGATCTGCACAACAGTTTATAATGGCTGATGTTTACTCATGAGTAGCACTTAAGAGTAATATCAACAGGTTTTCAGTACATTGAGCGAAACAATCCAATGACATCTGAAAACAAACCTCAAAAATGTATGTTCTTTACGGTCTAATTTAGAGGTTTAGCCAGGTTTTGCTCAGGTACTGGTCCATGAATAATTTTGATATTTTCTATGTTGTTGCAGACAGCCCTGGTGGTGCAGTGGTTAAGCACTCAGCTGCTAACCGTTTGTGATCTGAACCCACTAGCGGCTCCGTGAGAAAAAGATGTGGCAGTCTGCTTCCGAAAAGATTACAGTCTTGGAAACCCTATGGGGGCAGTTCTACCTTGTCCTATAGGGTCATTATGAGTCGGAATCAACTCCATGGCACACAACAACAACATTGTTAGTTGCCATCGAGTGGATTCCAACTGATAGTGACCCCATGTGTGCAGAGAAGAAATGCTTCACAGGGTTTTCATGTGACTTTGAAGCAGATCACCAGGCCTGTCTTCCGAGGTGCCTCTGGGTAGGTTCAAACTGCCAACCTTTTGGCTAGTAGTTAAGTGTTTAAGTTTGTGTCATACAGGAACTGCTGACACTTTCTATAGAATCTTTAATTTTTAAGACTGAGAAATAAACTTAGCGATTATCCAACTCAACCTCCATTTGATGAATAACTGATTTTCTTTTACATAATCACCAATAAACAATCCTGATATTAGTAAGTTAAACAGTCTCTGGTTCTTTTCATATATAACGTTATTAATATATAAAAAGATTTCTAGACTCTATATCACCCCAAGCAATTCCCATTTTAGACATATTCAAATTTACTGAGGACTGATGAATACAACACGCAAAGGGTGGGTCTGATCATACAGATAACAATGGGACCATTAGTCCAATAAGGTAGTTTTTGTAATAAAAATATTCACCAGAAATTGAGGGAAAGGTCAATTTTGCCGATGTTAACACTTTTAAGAGTATGAAAGGTATTAATGTTTCAAACAGGTTGAACTAAGGAAGCAGAACAACTTAACTGCACTCAATTCAGTGTATCTTCATGGCTTTTTGTTATATGAACACCATGATTAGGTACCTTAGTACATTAAAAGCAAACAAAAAAACCCCCCAAAACTCAACCCATTGCTGTTGAGTCAATTCCAACTCATAGTGACCCTATAGGACAAAGCAGAGCTGCCCCCATAAGGTCTCCAAGGCTGCAATCTTTAGAGCATACCACCACATCTTTCTTCCGTGGAGCCACTGGTAGGTTTGAACCACTGACCTTTTGGTTACAGCTGAGTGCTTAGTCACTGCAAGACCAGGGATTCTTTTAGTACATATACCGGTACTCAAATATGAGCAATTACAAACATGTTAAAGACAACAGAATGGGTAAGTGGCAACAGTGCCTATCATTTGTTTATAAATTACACTAGGCCCATTTATTAAACAATAGCATTTTATCACAACTGGAATTTGCTTTTGAGTTGTTTTTTATCTAAGAATTACTCTCAATGTCCAAATATTCAATTTGTAGACCCTTAAAAACTCTAATAAAATACTCCTAATACACAAAGTAACAGAAAACTACTAAAAACCCCAAAACCTACGGCCGTTGAGTTGATTCCAATCCATGGCGACCCTGTAAGACAGAGTACAACTGCCCCATTGGGTTTCCAAGGCTGTAAATCTTTATGGAAGCAATCGCCACATCTTTCTCCCACACAAGCAGATGGTGGTTCGAACAGCTGACCTTTCAGTTAAGAGACAAGCATTTAACCACTGCACCTACCATTTAACCACTGTGCGGCCAGGGCTCTTCTCAGAAAACTACTAGATAATTTAAAAGATAAATATATCATCAACTAAGGAAGAAAGAATTATTTTAGCTAAAAAAACTTATGATTAATTTAACCAATGCAGACTTAAATGAAGGGATTTAGAAATAGCGAGGTAAGAGGAATCAACAGCCCGGATCTTTTGTGATAAAACAACTCTGATACAACCATATTATGGTACTGAATATAAAATTTAAAAGTTCTGCACTTTGAGGAATGATTAGTTCAAAGTGAAATGTAATCTCTTGTTTATTGACTATAAAAAAAAGAGCTCTATTATTTATTACATAAACCAATCTTATTTTCACTAGACATAATTAGATTCAAAAGGTCAAATATGCCAGCATTTCACGAAAAACAATCCAACTTCTCTATACATTTACCTGTATCAGGGACATCAGTGGGTCTCATGATTCTCCGAATCTGTTCCATAGACTGCAGGTCTGGTGACAGTCCTATAAATAAGAAGAAAAAACACAGTGCTAACATCTAAAAACAACTTTAAAATTGGCCAATAAAAAAACATTTAATCAAAGTTGAATTAATTACTTGAAATTAAAATTACTTAAAACTTGTTCCTGTTGAGTCAATTCCAACTCAACGACCCTATAGGACAGAGTAGAAAGTGCCCCTTTTAATGTTATCTTAAAAGTCAGCATACTGAGTTATTATGAATCCCAGTTTGATATAACAGAGTATTATGATTAGGTTGTCTTCTCTACTTTTTCCTACCAGGAAAATGAAACTCCTATTTCAAAAGATCTCCCAAGTAAATAAATCCCACCATTCCTCTTTTCTCCCAACCATTCCCTGCCCTTCATAAGAACATAATTCCAATCCTTCCTGTCACTTTTGCCACTCCCTCCTTACCACTTAATTTACAACTTTTTTATTTCCAAGTTACTCTGTCTCTAAGCCCTCCTTCCCACATCCCACTCCAACATACTCATTATCTTCTTCATAAAGGATAAACTATTGATCAGGAGAAACTAGAAAAAGCACACAAAAATACTCTGCAATCTTTAAAGTGGTACATAAAGACATGATAATATTTAAATAATATTGTGCATTAATATATTTCTCTCTGGTAGGCAAACCAAGTATCAGCAGGAATGAGGCTCAACAGTCAATTCCATACTGCTACACTGCTATTCTTGGCTATACAAATGTGTAAGAGCTACAATTCCTTAAATATTTAGTGTCTACTGGAAAACATGCTTCCACTAATACAGTGAATTATGTTCTGTCAGAGAATAAACCACTTATTATCTAATGCCTAGACAAGTCCATCTATCTTAACTGTTTTTCATCTTCAATTCTCGCATGGTAAAAAACAAAAAACTAATTTTCTTACACTACTTTCATAAATTATTTCCCTAAAAACCCAATGTGGTTATTAAACCATTCAACAAACTCCTCTGCACAGTATTCGTATTCCTCTATAATCTGATCCCATTAATCCTCAAGACGTATCTGACATTCTAGTCAGGTTAAGTCCCACACAGTCCCTGAACTAGACAACACAGAAAGACTGTCTCAAGTCCTTTTCATCTTTTCAAAGTCTATCCTCTAAAGTCCATGCTCTCCGCTAAAATGCTCTATCTTTCCCGACTGTCCCTATAAGTACTTTAGCATAATTAAATCCCCTTTAATACTCAACATTCATTTCAAAAACATAAATTTTATCAATAGGTTTTTAAATTCTTCAAGACAACCAGGTCACACACTATCCATATATTTTCACAGCATCTAGTTAAGTGCTAGACACATGCCAATTTTTCAAATTAACTTTTCACATATTCGAACTATTTCACAGGTCTTATGGAATAGCACCATTCTATCAAAAAAATTATTTTTAGCCCATCAACAGATGAATGAATAAACAAAATGTGGTACATACATACAATGGAATACTACTTAGCCAACAGAAGAACTAAAGTCTTGATACATGCTACAGTATGGATGGAGCCTGAAGACATTATGCTGACTGAAATAAGCCAATCATGAAAGGTCAAATATCGTTATGACCTTATATAAAAAAACAAAAAAAGGCAAATGTATAGAGACCAGAGTTTAACGGTGGTTACCAGCGGTGGGAGGGACAGGGTAAGGGGGGGTCAGTGGTGATGGAAAAATCACACTGATTAAGCGTAGGGTTGCACAGCCAATTATTGTAACTGCTGTCAACAAGCTGTACATGTGTTAAGAAGCTGAACTGGCAAAAGTTGTGTGATGTATTTACAACAACGATCAAAAAAAAGGTAGCTACTGAAGCTGTTTATGTATTAATACAACCAAAAACTTTGTGAGATTTGGTTCCTTGGTCTGGAAGTATAGGGTCATGGTTTCATGGAACATCCCAGTTAACTGGCCTAATAACGTGTTTAGTGCTTCTGTTCTATCTCCTAGTTCGTTGCATAGTGCCTAGGGTCTTAAAAGCTTGCAAGTGGACACCCAAGGCACAATAATTGGTCTTTACTCACGTGGAGCAACAGAGAAAGAAGAAAGGTCAAGAATAGGACAAGGATATGGAGTGTGTGGTTACTTGCCCCCATGAAAAACTGTCTGCTTTGCCATGAGACCAGAAGAACTGGATGGTGCCCGGCTACCATTACTAAACATTTTTTTTTTTTTTTTACTGTACTTTAGATGAAGGTTTTTAGAGCAAATTAGTTTCTCTACTAAACAATTAATACACATATTGTTTTGTGCTGGACTCAGTCTGGTGGCTAGTAGAATCCTAATCAAAAGGGGAAAAACGCAGAGCAGAATTTCAAATTCTCATGGACTACAGACTTTCTGGAGCCATGGAGGGTGGATAAGCCCTTGAAACTACTGCCCTGAGATAATCTTTAACTCTTAAACCAAAAATATCTCCTGAAGTCATTGTAAACCTGAACAATAGTTTAGCTTAGTTAACTAGTAAAAAAGGTCGCCTTGAGCATTATGTTCTTTTAAGAATTGTCTATATGGGATGAGATTGACAACAGCAACTCAAAAGATCAAATAGGAACCTAGATGGCAGTGAGCTTAAGTTAATGAGGGAGAAACAACTGAGAAAAGGTTAGAATGGTTGCACAACTTGAAGAACGTAATCAATGTCACCAAACTGTACCTTAGAAACTGTTGAATTGGTTTATGTTTTGCTACATATATTTTCAACAAAAACAAAATAAAATTTAGAGGAAAAAATTATTTTTAGGACCAAAGCAGAAATACAAAGCTTAGAATTCAGTATGTGTGAATATTAAGCTCAATTATATTTGAATTCCGATGAAAGTTATTTAACATAGGAAGATAATGATCCTCTCATCTTTACTAATGGCGGGGGTATCTTTCTGTCAAGACTTCAGACAAAGAAGAAAAAGGAAAGACATTTTTCGAACAAAAGTCTAGTTATCCTTTTTATATGGGAAATTCTTTAAAGGTAAGTAAGTTTTCACATTTAGGAATAATCATAAACTTCTATTTACTAGAAGAGAGTTTAGTTACGTTTAAAATAATTTCAATAATTTGAGTTTTCACACAAGAACTACTTTTTCTCACAGAATCTTAGTTATTACAAATACTTTCTAAATAATGGACCAACAGTAGGAAAAACCCACAAAGCAAATTTACTAGTCTACCTCCATGACAGCAGAAGATCTTCTCATCCACAATGGCTGCTATAGGCAGACAGTTAAAACAATCTGTGAAGGTCTTCCACAATTTAATATTAAACCTTCGTTTGCCTGTAAAAAGAATAAGCAGGTAAAATAAATATGAAATAACTACCTATATATAAATATCCATATATTTATCTACCTATATATTATAGCATAACTAGATCTAAAAAATCTATAACTGTTCTTAATAGTTATTTGAAAGTCACCAGATTATGAATAATTTTAATTTTGTTCTTTATGCTTATCTAGTACTGTTTTTTCTTCCCTATGAGTGTTACTTGTATACCTTTTAAAAGGTAATAAATATAATAAACATTCAGCATGTTCAGTAAAGTTTAAAGACTTTCAAAGACTGTACTGGGTGTTTTATGAAACCAAAGCATCAAACAATTTTGTCTTTTAAGATCACTATAACACAGCAATTTTTAAGTAGTTTAATAGACTATTATTTTTTCCTTTCAACACATACACTAGGTAAATACCTGGCCAAATAAGTAGGCAAAAGTTAAAGGGGTGCCTCTGGAGACTATCCATCTGAGTGAGTGACACCGTGTAAACCTACTGCCAAGAAAGGAAAATTTCCAAGTGAATTACAACTTGGCACTAGAGCAAGTATAAAGGAAACACAAAGGCTGTAATTTTCCTATACTTTAGCATAAGCAGGCACAAGGACAGCCTCAAGTGTACGTTCACCTTTTTTACAGTTGCTTGATTTTTCTGAAGTTGGCAATACGTTGCAGTAACTAACCCAGTGAAGGGTGAAAGACACAAGTACTAATCTTCTGTTTTTATGCCATAGCCTGCCTCTCAATAACTCAAAGGAGAGTTTACAAGCTGCTCTCACATACATGGTTTCATCTGATGTCAGTTTTACCCTCAAGGAGGCTGACTCTATTCAAGCCTATTTATTTCATCCTTTAAGAATGTATCTCTATTTCTGATGCAGCTTTAGGAAGATGATTATAATCCGACATACTACAACCCATTTCTTCTGGACTGGTCTGATTCAAACACTACACATCAGAAATAAAAATGCAATATAGAATTATTCTCATTACAGCATAAGCTGCGTAAGAACAGAGACCATCTTATCTGATACACTGTTGAATTCCCAGTGTTTAGAATAGTGTCTAGCATATACCACATCCTCAGTTGTCAAATAAATGATTATATGGACCAGGGAGATATTTTACAGTTTGAACAGGACTATACAACATATGAAGATGGAAAAAAGGCGGAAGCTTATTTTAATGGGGGAATTCAACACTAAAAAAGAAAAAAATTGCTGTAATTCAAATGATTACAATTCATTCTAAGTTGTAATTAACCAAATACACGCTCACTCCCATATTCTACCTAGCAAACCCAAAAGACCAAGGAAACACTATTGCTATACAACAGCAAATCAGTGAGTTCTTACTGGTGAAAAAGAGCACAATAAAATGAGGATACCCCAAAGTATGCAATATCCTAGTTTCTCTAGGTTTGTAGAGAATAATAAATTTCAACTTTATAAACAGTTTCACAGAACTTCTCAATAGTTTGTGTGACACAGGGTTGATAAGGGTTCCTGTCATATCACAAGAATGCTGAGAGCTAAAACCTTAATGGATACTAGAAAACCAGAGGCCAGTGTCTTTACTGACCTCTGCTTCACCAGAATATTCTGCTATGTAAACTAATTAAAAGAGGGCCCTTTCAGCTGAATAAGCTGTAGTCAACCTGAAATAATATGACCAGAGATCCCAAGGAACTAATGAGTAACATGTTTCTCCAGTTTTAGGCTCCTTGTCCAAGAAAGGCTCTGTTCCTAGGCCTATGCCTAATAGATCATATGCTGAAAAAACTCTGAATTGAAGAAACTCTTTTGAACTAGAAAATCATTAGGGAATTTTTCCATTAACTACTTTTCTGTTTTTATTTTTACTTACATTCATCATAGAATCCATAAATGCGATTGATGCTAGCACACTCATGGTTTCCTCTTAAGAGAAAGAAGTTCTCTGGGTATTTGATTTTATAAGCCAATAGCAAACAAATGGTTTCCAAAGATTGCTTTCCTCTGTCCACATAATCTCCTAAGAAAAGATAGTTGGCTTCTGGTGGGAAACCTCCATATTCAAATAACCGCAGTAAATCTGTATACTGTCCATGAATATCTCCTAAAAATAGAAAAAGTTACTTTTAGAAAATTTGGTTACTGTGGTAGGTAACTTTTATGAAATGGTTCCCAATGTTCATGCCCTTGTGTAATTTCCTCCCCTTGAGTGTGGGATGGACTTAGTGACCTGCTTCTAGAACACAGCAAAACTGATGGGATTGTCAATCCCGAAACAAGGTAACAAGACTGTGACTTCTGTACTGTTCACAGGCTTGCTCTGGTGAAGCCAGCTGCCATGCTGTCAGCTGCTCTATGGAGAAGCCCATGTGGCAAAGAACTGAATCCTTCCCTAGAGAACACAAGATGACCGCAGCCAGCTGACACTTTGATTGGAGCCTTGTGAGAGAACCCGAGGACCTAGCTAAGCTGCACCCAGATTCCTGATCCACAGAAACTGTAAGATAACAGACAACTGCTGTTTTAAGCCACAAAGTTCTGAGGTAATTTGCTATGCAACGATAGATAATACTGTTACTCTTATTCTCTAATAATTTAACTTAGGTCATCATCTCTGTTATACTGAATAGAAAGACAAATAACAAGAATTTAGAAAAATGTAGTATAAATAATTTCAACTGCATTCAAGTTATTTCTGTATTAAAGTATTTTAAAGGGTACCCTGCCAAGACTTTGAATCATTTTATTTTTAAAATCACCTATAAGTAACTACGTTTGCTACATTTAAATTCATAGAAGGGATTCATCATTTCTACAAAACTTCAAACTATTACCTCTTAAAAGTGATAATCTGAGCTAATTTATTCATTCATTCAACTGACATTTACTCAGCTAGTATCTTTTATTTGCTGGCCACTGTACTAAGGAGCACCAATTACATGCTTAATACACCACATGAAAAAAGAGAATAAAACATATTCAAGGAGCACACTAAGCACCTGCAGGTTTTGTGGTGTGAACGTGCATCACCAAGAAACATGCAGTAGAATAAAAACCTTTGCAAATAATCCTTGACTGAGCAAAAGTTGCTTAAAAACCACGTCATAAACATTAATAGCCACTACAAAAAATACCTGCATTATCAAACCAAAAACCAGTATGATACAATATTTATACCACACTTTGTGCTGTTTTATGTGAACTTCAAAAAAAAGCTACTTTCTATACAACAATCCTCTGGCTGATTCCAAGGATCAATCAACTTAAGGTCGTTAAGTTTTTGCTTTTGGACAGAAGTCACTGTTTAAGACTTAAAAGAACAAATATAAATTGTAAAGTAATGTAAGTCTCAAAATAAATCAACATGACCACAACGAAGTTAGAAAAATGACCCCCAAAATTCTATACCTGTTTACATTCTGATCAGTGTACCAGAAAGCCCATTTCCCCACATTCTCGACAACACTGCTTATCAATCCTTGACATTTTTTGCAATCTGATTTAGGTTGGGGGCTTGTTTTGAATTGCATCTCTTTGATTACTAGTAAGGCTGACACTCCTACGTTTATTGGCAATTTCAATTTCTTTTAAGATCTGCCTCTTCCTATTTTTTTTGTCAATTTTTCTTTTTTGTCGTTTTCTTATTTATTTCTAAGAACTGTATATACTGTGAATAACAATCTGGTATATGTATAGCAAATATTTTCTTTTTGTCTGTAACTTGCCATTTGAATGAAAATTTCAACTTTTATATAATTTTATGTAATAAAACCTATCAATCTTCTTCTTTACACAAATTAAATTTTTTTTCCTCCAGATCATCCTCAATGTAAATATGGGGAGAAAAACCTAAGTGATTCAAAAGGGACTGTTTTCAACTTTACTCATTTACATACCACAAATTTTCAGCGGTGCCTCTAATTCCAAAAGAATAGGCTGGCTGAGAAAGATCTCCCGAGACTTGATACATAAGCCCCGAACTTCTGCTTCGGTCATCTGCACAATCTTTCCTGGACGACATCCTCGTACTGAAAAACAATGAATAAAATGGTCAGTGTTATGGACTGAATTGTGTCTCCCCAAAATGTGTGTCAACTCAGCTAGACCATGATTGCCAGTACTGTGTGACTGTCCATCATTTGTCATCGGATGTGATTTTCCTACCTGTTGTAAAAAACGAGCAGAGAGACACGGGGACCTCATACCACCAAGAAACAAGAGCCAGAAGAACAGCATGTCCTTTGGACATGGGGATGCTATGCGGAGAAGCTCAACTGGGGAAGACTGATGACAAGGCCCTTCCCCCAGAACCGACAGAGAGAGAAAGCATTCCCCTGGAGCTGGCACCCTGAATTTAGACCTCTAGCCTCCTAGACTGTGAGAAAATAAACTTCTGTTTGTTAAAGCCATCCACTTGTGGTATTTGTTATAGCAGCACTAGATAAATAAGACAGCCAGTCTTCTAAAATTTATCTGTAAAATAATAACCCTTAAAAAAGTCATATTTTGAAGATCAGAAAAGTCACACAGGCAGCAAACTATCAGATGCCTTGTTGTGTCCTATGGCTTACAGTGTTCTTCTATGATCTTTGACTTCTCTCTTTCTCTACTACTGCTGGTTCCTGATGATACTTCTTAAGCCTGCTGCCACCAAAATGCAGCCCTCTTCTTTGTTCTCCAGTGGCCAACTCGAGGCCTAGGAGCCCAACAGACCTAAAATGTTTCCAAGGACAGCATGCTCAAGGGTCTGGCCTACTTTCTCAGCATAGCAAGTCCTGCATCTAGCAGAAGACCAGAAGATCACTAAGAACCAGTGGCTACGAAGAAAGGGAGATTACTAAGTAGCTGTCAGTAAGTGACACTTGAAATAGTATGAGCAGTACCAAGAGCAACCATGACCTCCATTTTCTAATCAAAACAAATGTTAAAAAGGTGCTAGATGCTTTTATATCATATTTAAAGCATTGTTATGCTCACAACAGGGCACTGTATAAAAAACTCTATAGGGTTGCTATGAGTCAGAATCAACTTGAGGGCAATGAGTTTTTTTAATAGGCTATTTAGATGGAATAAATCTTTTTTAAACATGAATGAGCTATAAAATCCATAAAATAATATGTTTCTTCGGTAACTTCTAGGGCAGAATGAGGTGGGGTGGAATGATGTATGGGAGGACAGTGTCTTATTTGCCCTATAGGACTGAACTTGTAATCATTTCCTCTTACATCTTTATCTTCTCCACTGGCTCTTTCCCTTTAATCTTCCCATATACTGCTAGTTCCCATTTAATCTTAACTGCAAAAGCACTGAAAAAACCAAACAAATCAGAGACTATATTTCTATATACCCTTAGTACCTCCCATGTCTAATTTTTACAATGAAGTCCATAAACAACTTGCTTAAAAATTGTTACGATTTATCAGGTCAATCAGACAGGCTTAAAAAAAACTAAAAATAAAAAAAAGCCAGTCCCCCATATGCAGAAGTTAATCCATCTATAAATTCCATTAATGTACAGCAAATATTCAACACTGCTCCCTTATATCTAGAACAAAGTTATCTGCTTGTAGTAAGCAGATGTGAACACAAATGCCCATAAAATTATTTTTTTAAGAAAAATGAAAAGCATTAACTGAAGTTTCTTTAAAAACTAATACCTGATTTGCCTTAGGTTTTGAATAATCACTAATTGGCATGACTATACTTATAATAAAAGTTAACAAAGAGAAGACAGAGACAGTGTTCAAATAAATGCACACTAGTTAACATACCAGTTAATAAAACTATCCTTGGAACTCAAAAGAATAATGATCAACAAAACTGCTTTCGTTATGAGAATTTAAACATCTCTTCTAAAATTAGTTATTAGCTCTCAAACATCAATTACCTATTCCTGATGCACATTTAGATTTTCCTAAGACCAAAAAGGACACACACCCCTCCCCATCCCCAGATGCCTTTGAGTCAATTCAGATTCACGGTAACCCCGTATGTGTCAGGTGCAATGGTGTTCCATGATTTTTCAAAAGTAGACTGCCAGGCCTTTCTTCTCAGGTGCCTCTAGGTCGACTAGAACCTCCAACCTTTCAGTTAGCACTCACGCGTGTTAACCTTTTGCACCACCCAGGGACTCTATTTAACTTTGTATCTGTCATTAAGTATCTGGAATGCTAACTTAGCTTGATTTCCCTGTAACAGGAACAATTCTTTTTTATTATTATTTTTTATTGTACTTTAGATGAAGGTTTACAGAACTAGCTTCTGATTAAACAGTTAGTATGCATATTGTTTTATGACATAAGTAAACAACCCCATGACATGTCAACACTCTCCCTTCTTGACCTTGGGTTTTCCTGTCCACTTCTGCCTTCGAGTCCTTGTCCCTGGGCTGGCGTGCCCTTTTAGTCTCATTTTGTGTTATAGGCCTATCTTTATCTTTGTCTAAAAGGTGAACCTCAGGAGTGACTTCATTACTGAGCTAAAAGGGTGTCTGGGGGCCATACTTTCAGGGTTTCTCCAGTTTGTCAGGCCAGTAAGTCTAGTCTTTTTTTGAGTTAGAATTTTGTTTTACATTTTTCTCCAGCTCTGTTGTGATCCTGGTCAGAGCAGCCAGTGGTAGCAGCTGGGCACCATCTAGTTGTACTGGACTCAGTCTGGTGGGGCCGTGGTAGTTGTGGTGGAGTATCTTAGATGGCCGCTCACAGGCTTTTTAAGATCCCAGATGCTACTCACCAAAGTAGAATGTAGAACTTCTTCTTTATAAACTATGTTATGTCAACTGAGCTAGATGTTCCCTGAGACCATGGTCCCCAAAGCCCTCAGCCCAGTAATTCGGTCCCTCAGGGACTCTGGATGTGTCTATGGAGCTTTCATCACTTTGCCTCGTGCAAGATGTGCTGGCTTCCCCAGTATTGTGTACTGTCTTACCCTTCACCAAAGTTACCACTCACTTATCTATTGTCTAGTGTTTTTCCATCACCCACTCCCCTCCTTCGTAACCATTTAAGATTGCATTTTTAATTGTACTTTAGACGGTTTATAGAACAAATAGTTTCTCATTAAACAGTTAGTACACATATTGTTTTATGACAATGATTAATCACCCCATGAATGTCAACACTGTCCCTTCTCAACTTTGGGTTCCCTATTACCAGCTTTCTTGTCCCCTCCAGCCTTCTAGTCCTTTCCCTGGACTGCAGTGCCCCATTAGTCTTGTTTTGTTTATGGGGCTGTCTAATCTTTGGCTGAACGGTGAACCCCGGGAGTGAGTTCATTACTGAGCTAAAAGGGTGTCCGGGGGCCATACTCTTGGAGTTTCTCCAGTCTCTGTCAGGCCAGTAAGTCTGGTCTTTTTTGTGAGTTAGAATTTTGTTTTACATTTTTCTCCAGCTCTGTTGTGATCCTGGTCAGAGCAGTCAGTGGTAGCAGCTGGGCACCATCTAGTTGTACTGGACTCAGTCTGGTAGAGGCCGTGGTAGTTGTGGTCCATGAGTCCTTTGGACTAATCTTTTCCTTGTATCTTGTTTTCTTGATTGTTTCTGTGTGTAAACTTTTCATCAGTTTTTATAGCAGTGGTCTCATACAATATTTGTCCTTTCATGATTGACTTAGTTCACTCAGCATAATGCCCTTCAGATTCATCCATGTTGTGAGATGCTTCAGATTCATCACTGTTCTTTATCTTTGAATAGTTCTCCATTGTGTATATGTAACATAGTTTATCCATTCATCCACTGATGGGGCATCTAGGTTATTTCCATCTTTTTGCTGTTGTGAACAATGCTGCAATGAACCCAGGTGTGCGTATGTCTATTCGTGTGATGGCTCATTTCTCTAGGATATATTCCTAGGAGTGGGATTGCTGGATCATAGGGTATTTCTATTTCTAGCTTTCTAAGGAATTGCCGTATCATTTTCCAAAATGGTTGTACCATTTTGCATTCTCACCAGTAGTGCATAAGAGTTCCCATCTCCCTGCAGCCTCTCCACTATTTGTTATTTTATGTTTTTTTCAAATTCATGCCAGTAATGCCAGGGTGAGATGGTATCTCATTGTGGTTTTCATTTGCATTTCTCTAATTCCTAGTGATCCTGAGCATTTCCTCACGTGCCACTTAAGCCACTTGAATGTCTTCTTTGGTGAAGTGTCTGTTCATATTCTTTGCCCATTTTTTAATTGGATTATTTGTCTTTTTGTTGTAGAGGTGTTGGATTTTCCTGTGTATTTTAGAGCTTAGACCCTTGTCAGACTTGTAATAGCCAAAAAAGTTTCTCCCAGTCTGTAGGTTCTCTTTTTACTTTTTTGGTGAAGTCTTCTGATGAGCATAAGTGTTTTTTAGAAGATACCAGTTATCTAGCTTATCTTCTGGAGTTTGTATGTTGTCAGCCACAGTTTGTATCCTGTTAATGCCGTGTTATTAGGGCCTCTAGCATTGCTCTTATTTTTTCTTCTATGATCTTTATAGCTTTTGGTTTTATATTTAAGTCTTTGATCCATTCTGAATTAGTTTTTGTATATGGTGTGAGGTATGGGTCTTGTTTCATTTTATTTTTGCAGATGGACACCCAGTTTCGCCAGCACCATTTGTTAAAAAGACTGTCTTTTCCCCATTTGATGGACTTTGGGCGCTTGTCAAAGATCAGTGACTGCAGGTGGATGGATTTACATCTGGGTTCTCAATTCTCTTCTGTTGGCCAATGTATCTGTCATTGTACCAGTACCAGGTTGTTTTGACTACTGTAGCTGTACAGTAGGTTCTGAGGTCAGGTAGTGCAAGTCCTCCTACTTTATTCTTCTTCAACAGTGCTTTACTTTACTTATCCTGGGCCTCTTCCCTTTCCATATAAAGTTAATGATTAGTTTTTCCATTTCTTTAAAGAATGTTGTTGGTATTTGGATCGGGATTGCATTCTATTGGTAAATTGCTTTCTGTAGAATTGTCATTTTCACTATGCTGAGTCTGCCTATCCATGAGCATGGGATGTTTTTCCATTTATGTAGATCCCTTTGGGTTTCTTGCAGTAGTGT